CACTTCCTTCAAATTTATCTGATTCTGTGCCTTGGTAGCCTACCATCATTCCCTTTTGACACAAAAGGCTTCCTGCCCTGCAATTATGCCTGGATGATGGGTTACTCCAATGAGAGAATCTGTGCTCCCAGCCTCCGCTGGCAGCAGCCAATAAGCAACTGGCAGCTCAGGATTCACGGCCATTGGCCCAAAGGGTGGTGGGGTGACCAGGGCTGAACCAATAATAGCCTTCCTGTGCCTGGAAATTGAGGGGTAATGTGGTGAGATCGTGGACATACCTGCCTGTGGGTTTCTGTTGAAGCATTTCCTTTTAACCAGGGTGGTTGAAGTGTCAAGATGCAGATGTCACAGTGGGACATGTTCTTATCCTTTTGCATCAAAATCAGAGGAGACTGCTTGGCAATTAATGGAACTAAGGTGACTCATTCCTCTACCTCAAGTGATTTGATGGGGAGGAAGACTTGGGGTAATGGTAATGCACTTTAACATTCATTGTGTTTTTCTTCTTGGCGTATGGGCTTTTTTCCGTTCTTGGTTCCTTTTCCTATAGGTACATGCTGAATTTCAAAGTGGTTGGTGATTATCCAAGTGCTTTCCATTTAATTTATTTCCAGCTTCCTATATATCTGTGAAGGGAGCACACACTGTAGGGCTAGGGTGGGGGAGCTTCAATCCTTTGAAATTTGTTACAGGTTGCATGAAAACCCACTATTTCGTTATGTTTGCCCTGTGTTCCATGTGAACTCTTAAAATAAATTCTAAATGACCTTTGATTTGAATGTAGAAGCCTGTGAATGGTGTCACTCCGAGCCAAACAGTGAGACAAAAGCTAGGTAAACTACAGCAATCCAAACTTTTCTTGAGCCCATTAGACGAGAGATAAAGCCAATGGGATATGGAAAGGGATGGGGGACTTGCTGCATAAATACCCAAGGAAAGCTACCATAAAATGAAGTGCCAGTAAATCCTTGTGGGTGGTCCTTAGAAATGGTCATTTACATGGGTAACTGAATTTTTGAAGCCAAAGCTCTTTTCAGAGCCATATGCCTTTTCAGAGAAAGGACTGTGGACCATTTCGAAAATTAAAATCCTGTTTCCCTAAGTCACTTAATTTCTATCATGCTGATTGCTGCTGGTTCAAAAGGCCCTTTTTGTCCACATGACTTACAGTGGTTTTTCAAAGTTATTCATGCACATTGGTCTCATACATATCATATTATTTAAAAAGTCATTTTAAGAACGCAAATCCAGAGGAGCTTGGGAAGATGGCGTAGTAGGAGGAGCCTGAGCTCACCCCGTCCCACATTTAAAACTAGATATCATCCAGAAATATTAAATAAACCAGAGAGCACCCCAAGGACTGGAAGAACAAACCCCACAACTAAATATAGGGAAGAAGCTGCATCTGAAAGGTTAGGAAGGTCAGAAACGTGGAGGGAGGCTGCCAGCAGGAAGGAGGGAGCTGAGCATGGGGAGAGGGCAGAGAAATGGGCCCTCGAACCAGGGAGCTCACACGGGGGAGGCTAATGTCCATACCTTTTGGCTGTGGAAACCAGAAGGGCTGAATACCATGAGTTTGTATAACCAGTGGGACTTGGAGCCTGGAGCTTTGAAAGTCAGCTGACTCCACAGTGGGCAAGCAAGGAGGGCGAGTGACAGCTGGGTCACCACCCTTAAAGAGAGAGCAGCCTGTGTGGAGGGGCGACATAAAAACGGCAGTTTGCACCATGCCAGGGGCAATTGGCAGACGGAACTGTTCATACTGATTTTGGAGCGTGGTGGGGGACCTCTCTGAAGAGGGAGGAGCTGCAGGGGCCATTTTCCTCCCCTGTCCCCCAGCATAAACACGGGGCCATCTGAGCACTGCATAGACACTTGCTACCTAACCTGCTAGCAGTGTGCCATGCCCAACAGTTCTCCTCAGGGCTTGTTCATTCCAGGCCTACTGGTCTCAGCTATAGGTTCAGGGCAAAATTTTTTAAAGCGGTACATACCACACACAACCACTGGGTGCACAGCTGCTTCCCTGTCCAGCTGCAGATTCGCACCCAGGTGTCATGTCTCGCCCAGCCATGCACCTGCAACCACCATTGTGGGCGGGGCCCAGCTGCACCCAGCCATTGCCTCGAGCCACCCCCAGTCTCATGAGCTGGCCAACCCCACGCACAGACCCAGGCGCCATTGCGCTTGGGGGAATCTGGCATAGGACTGGTGGCCCAATGCAAATTTTGCTCCCAAGTTCCCTGGTGGGCACATCCCCCCTGTCCCCAGAGCTGGCCTGCCTGGGTCCCAGTAACACCACAGAGAAGCAGCACAGCCCACAACAGGCAGAGTGTCAGTGCAGATGACTGCACTGAAAGGAAAGTGACTCAGACACAACAGCAGGGCATAAGCAACACACATAGGATATTCTCCTGAAGTGCCAGGTTCTGGTGAACAGGGGACACTGCACTGCAGTGCACTCTGGGACTACTGCTTCCTAAAGTCGCTACTTTCAAGAGCAGAAGATGTAGTTGACTTTTGTAACATGCAGGAACAAATACAGAGAGGCAGACAAAATGAGGAGACAGAGAAATTTATCCCATACGAAAGAAGGGAACCAGGCCATGGCCAGAGATCTAAGCCAAACAGATGTAAGTAACAGGCCTGTTAGAGAATTTAAATCAACGATCAGTAAAGATACTCACTGACCTTAGGAAAAGAGTGGAAGACATGAGTGAGACACATGATAAGGACTAACAGAGAGATAAGGAGTAACATATCAGAGATCAAGGGCTCAGTAAATGAGAAACACGTTTGATGGAGTGAACAGCAGGATGGATGAAGCAGAGGAATGAATGGGTGACCTAGAAGACAGAGTATTGGAAAGGAATCAAGCTGAACAACAGAGATAAAAAGGAATTACGCAAAACGAGACTACACTTAAGGACCTCAGGGACTCCATCAAATGTAATGACATTCACATTATAGGAGTCCCAGAAGCAGAAGCGAGAGAAAAGGAGGCAAAAAATTTTTTTGAAGAAATAATAGCTGAAAACTTCCCTACGCTGGGGAAGGAGGCAGACATCCAGATCCACGAGGCACAGGGAACTCCCATTAAAATCAACAGAAACAGACCCACGCCAAGACATATGTAATTAAATCGGCAAAATATAGTGATAAAGGAAAATTTGAAAAGCAGAAAGACAAAAGAAGACAGTATTTACAAGGGAAAACCAAAACTCGTAAGGCTAGCAAGAGAGTTTGCAAGGGAAAGTTTGCAAGCCAGAAGGGAGTGGCATGATATATGCAGAGTGCTGAAAGGAAAGAACCTATAGCCACGAAGACTCTATCCGGCAAGGCTACCATTCAGAATAGAAGGAGAGGTACAGAGTTTTCCAGACAAACCCAAACGAAAGGAGTTTCTGACCACTAAACCAGCCCTGCAAGAAATATTGGAACTCTTTGAGTGAAAAGGAGGGACGAAAAGAGACGGTATAAAGGTAGATAAAACACAAAAGCACTAAAATTTGAGTATTTCTGTAAAAAGTCCGTCAAGGTAATCACAAAATGAAAGGATTTAAAATGTAGCAACATAGGGGCGCCTGGGTGGCTCAGTCGGTTGAGCGTCTGACTCTTGATTTCAACTCGGGTCATGATCTTGGGGTTGTGGGATCGAGCCCCACGTTGGGCGCCATGGCCAGCGTGGAACCCGTTTACGATTCTCTCTCTCCTCCTCCTTCTTCCCCCCCCACTCTCTCCCTCTGTAAGATAAATAAAACTAAAAATAAATAAAAACTAAATTGTAACAACATATACCTAAAACATGGGTAGGAGAGGAGTCAAGAACGGGTTCAAACTTAAGGGACCATCAACTTAATATAGATTGCTATATACAGAAAAGGTTATATACAACCTTAACGGTAACCACAAATCAAAAACCACTAATAAATAGGCAAAGAATAAAGAGAAAGGAATCCAAACACATCATTAAAGAAAATCAGCAAAACACGAAAGAGAGAAAGACAAGAAAAGATCAGAGAAAATCTTCAGAAACAACCACAAATCAGG